CACGCAGAGGGGACACGGCTCCTGAGACGATCGCAGGCCAGAGCAGAAAGGCCAGTGCAGCCCGACAGGAACGTGCAAGGACAACGGTCTGACATGAGTTTCAGTCGCCAGAATGAATGGATGGATGGCCAAAAGAATGGATGGCAGGAATAACAGAAGGGGAAAATAAATGAACAAGAGTGCTAACTGCAGGCTAATCAGAGATTTTTTTACACGTTGATCTTTCTGGAAGTTTTCTATTAGCTTACATTTCTGCCTTAGCAAGTACTAAAAAATGAATATAATTTTTTTATTGTTTAAACTATTACAGATGTTCCCCTTACCCATCCCCTTGCCTACCTCACCCCCTACTCCAACCTCATCCCCCCTTCCCTCTGGCCATCACCACACTGTTGTCCCTGTCTATGGGTTATGCATATGTGTTCTTTGGCTAATCCCTTCACCTTCTTTCATCCGGTCCCCTGCTTCATGAATGTAACTTTTATTCTTTGATATTTTAAGAAAGTCCCATCCCTCAGGTTATCACCTTAAATTATCAATGACCAGAGGGTAGCACTGAAAAAAAATACATCTGTAGAAAGTATAATAAAGTGAAATGAATAGGTGTTAATTTCAAGAGATACCTAGAAGGTGAATTTTCAATAATGCTTGATTTGAGTCTGTTTTGTACTGATTTGCCCCTTTCTCCTCAGGGATATAAAAGATATTCGTAGTTTATTAAATATTCACATTCACTGATTCTGATTATCAAAAGGGTGATTTAAATGATTCTCAAATTTCTTTTATCTTCTAATATTTACCTGTTTTATAAGATTTTATTATAAGCCAACATTTCAAGCAATTAAGCTGTAAATAAAGAGGCCCAGTGTCCCTTGTGACTTCACACAGATCACATCAATCCAGATCTCAGTTCCTCCTGCAAAAACTGGGAGGTACGCTTGTTTCTAACCAGAACCACAATAAAGAGCTTAGATAATATTGAACAAAAATATTTTTATAAATATAACCTTGGCATTTTACACATTTTGATTGGTATCAGATTTTAGAGCTCACATTAAATTGACCCTATGATTCCTCTCATGTCACCCATTCTCAACCAGAAACGTCTCTGTCTGAAGTCAACGGAAACTGTCAACAACCACACCACCTAATGGTGGTTGGAGTTTGCAAATACGTTCTCTCAGCTCTCACAAGGCCATATCCAGAAATATTCATTAGCAATTGTACTTGCATCTATTAAATGTAGATTAAGAGGATTTTATTTTAACAAGATTTTATTTACCAACTAATTAGAATGACAATTTATTATAAGTATGGAAATAATTAACTTAGAGTTATAAAGCAGTATAAGCTCTTCTGGTTGTAGGAAGAAAACAAAATCATTTTCCTCCTACTCTATAGGCCTCGTTTTGCATAGCTACTTATATCAGCCATTGTTATTAATTTCACATTTTCACTTAGTCTTTATTTTCCCAGACATCTGAATTCTGTTGCTGTCAATTTCATGAAGGTCTTTTAAAGATAAATTTGCCATGCATCAAAAGCAGTTGTTTAAATAAGCATTTGGTTCTGACAGTTTTGCTCTTGATATTTTCATAGCAGCAGCTCAGAGCGTTTTACATCCGTCATGGCTTTCTTTGCTATGCTTTCCCGCCAATCTAAGTAAACATGTTCTTACAACCAGCATCACCCTGCAACGCTTCTCCACACGTTTAGGGAACGTGACCCTCAGTACAATGAATAACAAACACATGAAATCCCGATTTTCCCTTCTAGAACAGGGAGTTATCACATTATTTCCTTCATATGCTGGTCAAAGCCATCTCAATATTATTCTTTTGTCAAATGTCAGGAAAGCAAATAAGAAAACAAAGCTTCTTCACTGGTATGATTTGATCATTAGCAGGCCGAGCAAAAAACTTACTTAACTTGAAAATGTTTAGAAAGTACAAATGCAACTAACCATGCATTCCTACCTCCAACATTTCCAAAGACAACTTCATCTTTCCCATCCTTTCATTTAAAAAAAAAAAAAAAAAATCTGCTGTCTTAAGATAAAAGGGCTGCAAAACCCCAAGACTTAATCCCTGCTTCCAGCTAATGACAAGAAATATTTTTCATTTTTAGTTCACATCCTGAAAAAAATTCCCCTGACAGAAAATGTTCTGAACTAGTCTCAGAAAAGCAAATGCATTTGCTTCATTTAAGTTTTTCAGGATGACAAAGGAGAGGACTCAAGAACAAACATAAAAGTTGATCTAAAATAAATCAGTTTCAAATGTTAAAATACTTTTTAGCACACTGAACAACTTCAGATTTCAAACTTTATACTATATATGAGTATTTGAATGACAGAACACCTTATCCGGCACGCCCAGGATTAAAAATCATATTTATTTCTAATCATGTCACTGAATTGCTACTGTTTTCTGGACTGCAAATAAATGACTTATTCATAATAATGTGACAGCTATGTCTGATTGATTGGTATGAAGTAGAAAGGGACTTTGTCCTCAAGCATAAGCTACAATAGGGTCTGTCCGGTGCAGGCTGCATGTCCATCTGCAGCCAGCCAGCTGAATCACTGACTGTCCTGGTGAGAAACTCAATAGGTTTTCACAGCATGATTTCCATTCTATAAGAAATGACCATCCCATCGACACTGTTTTAAGATGTTTCTAGATTCCAAATCATTACAATACAATGACTTCAACCTTATTTTGGACTTTTAGGAATCTCACTACTGGTTTTCCAGTTTTTAAGGAAAAAGGGAGCAGCCGACAAAATGCTCCTCAATTTTGGCTTCTTGGACAGAGGAAAACACTACTACTGACAAAACAATGAAGAGTTTAGAAATCTTCCAGACTGTACATCCCTTAAAGCTTTTCTTTTTCTTTGCTTTTTTCTCCATCTCACTAATTAGGCCAGGGAAGGAAGACAGGCGTTTCTAGTCCAGTGGGCATGCTCCACATCCTACCGTTTTATTGCTGCTTCTCCCCTCGCCAAATAGCTCCATTAATCAGCAGGGAAAATATGCAGCAAACTATCTATACATCCTAATATTATCCCCAACAGAGAACTGAGAATGAGGGAGCTGCTTCAGAAAGAACTTGTTATGGTAAAGAACAGAGCAGTATCAGGACTTCTCTGGGGTGGTTTGAGCTTGGTCACAACTAAGTACAGGGGAAATTCAGTGACTTTACTTAATGAATGAGCATTTAAGAACTGCATTTCTGTATAGCCCAAGACTGTCCAGAATAATTGAGGTCAGTCTGAGACACAGTTGTACCTAGATAATTTCTGTTATTTTCTTACTTAAGAGTTTTATGAATTACTAATTCCTAAAAACCTAAAAATGGACTTATTATATTGCGATTTTATATTGACAGTGCAGTTTGGTTTCATACACTGTGATTTCTATTGATTGCCGTGTGTCCTTTGTTCACTGAGCTTGCTCCATTGATTACATTGATTCTAACAGCCCAGTATTCTGATTGGTATCACATGGGCTGTGCTTTGTATTTCTCGACTGTGCAGTGCTGAAATAATAATGTATTTGATTGTTTGAATATTAGTTTAAATCTTAAAATATGCATTTTCAGCATTGTGAAGTAATGAAAATACTGAACCTCCTGTTTTTTTCTCAAATTCAATTCTTAACTCATCCTGATTCCATTACTGTGCATGTAATTTAGATACTCTCTATGACACACACACACACACACAAAGATAGTTGATATTATCAGTAAGAGTTTATTCTGCATATGTGCTATTGTGTGTTAATTATGCAAATAAGTGGCAGATCTCTGATTCATATTAATATTTTAGCTATAAAACCAACAACAAACAAAAATTACTGTTAAGTGGAAAAGATTTTATGTGTAAGCTCAATCTACATATTAAAAATATGATATATATTTAATAACAGATATTCACAAGACTTAGAACTTAGAATGTGGGTAAATAAATGGATTAAAATAAAACAGAACTGAAGTCAGAGCTAATCCCAATAACCATTTCCCACTCTATTTTTGCATATAAAATAGATGTTGCAATTCCCTGAAACCTATCTTTTTTTTTCTTTTTAAGCAAAAATAATTTACTATTAAATATTGAAAAAATCAAAATAGAAATCACTCCTGAAAATACAAATTATTTAAACAGATGGCAATTGGTACACATCTCAAAGGAAAGTTTTAGCTTTGCTAATTAAAAAAAATAAGAGTGTAAATCAACATGTACAAAAAAGCTATGCTAAAGTAAGACTTGCTTTGAACCTAGACCTAAGTACTCTGCTTTGACATCAGCAGATATAAAGCATTTGTAAACATCTCACATTTAATGTTAAACTTATTCAACTACAACCACAAAAGAAAACATGATTCTCATATTTGCACTCAGTGCTTTGAAATATACCCCCAAATAGGTTTCTGTTCTGTTTCCCCAGCTACTGCAATCTAGGGCCTTGTTGAACAGTTTCGTACTTTTATATAGAAACTACTGAAAATATACTTTTCTTCCTAGTCAGAATTGCTAACAGCAGAAGCATATGTGATGTTAGAAATTTGGCGGCAATACCAAGTTCAATCCAGATGTAAGTACACTGTTTTCAGTCGCAATGTTTCAGGCCACCAGAGCAGATGAATCCTGATGGCCGTGAGGAGATTATGCGCCTCTCCAAGAGGATGACTTATTTCATTCTAACCAAAACTGGCTTTAGGAAGAAAACTGGCAGGTACAGATGCTGAATAATGGCCGCCAGTGCCCCAGACATAACTTCATAGACACATCTAGAGGAAAGTGGAGAACATTGGCTTTTGCAGATGAAAGACCTCAGGGGACTTCTGTCAACAAATGTCATGTGACTGGAGAAGGATTAAAAGGAAAGTAAGCACCCTGTTGGTGGAAAGGGCACTGACAAAATTAGGTCAATCACCTGAGTGTTTCTTCCTACGTGTGTTTCGACCCAAGGCAAGCCGCAACAAAAAATGATCAACATCAGAAAGTCCAGATCAGCGTAAGGATCAGCGGGATATTGGGAGCCTGAGACCACAGCATCTACAACTCCTTCGTCTTCCTTTAGAAAAGACATCAAACCACAGAAGAACTCTTAAAGTTCCAGCAAGTAATAAGACAAAAAATTATTGTTTTAAAGTGCTAATAAACCAGTTCTAGACATCAACAACTTTGAACATTCTGGACCTCACGTTTTCCATAAGAATCTATTGTAATAGGTGTCATTCATGTATCTATCAAAAAGATTTGATTCTAAGATGCTTTGATCAAATCTTGGAAAGCTGATCAATTCTCTACATGTATTTGTTTTCCTGAAGATCTTTCTGTGCCAATGTCTGAAAGGAAAACATATTAATAATTATTCATAAGGAAGATGAAATTCTTAAAAGAATTACATAAAATTTATGTTAATTTAATGCCACAATTAGTCTGGGTATTCCTAAATTTTATTTTTAAAAGTTTTAATAAAAAAATACAAATCCTAACACAACCTGCTAGAGCATTTGTAAACAAAAGAAAATGTTTACAGAAAATGAACATGAAACAAAATGGAACATTTAAATAAAATTATACTTGAACATGCTTTAAAGCTAGCTGTTTAGGTCTCCATTAAAACACAGCATAGCAAATACTTTCATTTTATAAATAACCAAAACAGAAGGTTAAAAGCAATTTGAAGTGTTCCTACACAATCTGAAAATAAGTGTCCAATAATTGAATCCAAAGTTCTTAAGATCATAAAAATCTGTAATAAGAAGGTTTTAGGATCAAATAGAATAAAAGTATACTTTATGCCTATCAAAACCAAAAAGCTTTTAGCATTATGATAGTTAAACTTCTTTAGTGCATTAATCCTTTAATAACAGCTTCAGCCCAGGGAAGTTTGTTGTGTGGTCAAGTTTAAATTCTATTTAACTTAGTTTGAAATTGTGCATGTTCTCTTTCAATATAATGTGTTTTATGCAGCACCAAGCTCTCCAGGAACTCTAAATACTTCACAGATTTATATCCTGACCGTAGTTCTTTTAATTGTTGCTGCTTTGTTTGTTGTATCCAGTACAAATCCATGCGAACAGCAGAGAGTAGCTCAGTGACATGTGCAGCACCGAAACCACTCCACCAGCAGGGAAACAGTGGTAATCAGAAGTTAGAGAATCAACGACAGCTTACCAGCTCCAAAAATTCTATTTCTGTTTGGAGAGCTTCATAAACACTTTGCATGTCATCTTCCTTATAAAGTTCTAGTTCCTTTTTAAGTCTGTTTTAAATGGAAAATTCATCCTATTAGTTCAGCAATCAACTTGTATAATAATTTTTATTACCTCAATGGTGGCAGGTCTGCAGTTCTATCATCAGAATTACAAGTTAACACTAAAAAATTGGAAAGGAATTTTAAATCTCTATAATTATGTAAGAACTACATAAAATGTTGGGGGAAAACTCTCATACATTAAATAAGGTAAATTGAATAATAACACACATTCAGTAACTTTACGGTAATTAAAAGAGCAACATGGTTTAGTGGGGAATCTATATTCCTGCCTGAAGACCTCCACTTCAGTCCTGGCCGCTGCAAGCCCAATAGCGTCACGAAATCATTTAGCCTCTCTGAACCTCACCTGAGAATTCTGCGTACAGAAAAAGGCATGACCTCTTAGATTTCTTCTTGCTTTAAAATTAAACATCAACTTGATTTTACACATATATCATTAAAATATATTTTGAGAGTGAAAAAGTAATATCAATGTTTCTTTTCTCCAATTAAGTCTTTAATCTTTTGAATATTCTGAAATTACTTTTTAGCAAAATTATTTTATGCACATATTTAATGTGAAAAATAGTGATGAAACAGTCATCTATTTCTAGCATTATGACTAACATTCTTTCCAAAAAAACAAAGACCATAACAAAAGCCAGAAGCTGTGATTGGAGAGCTGGGGCCCGAGGCTGGGCAGATAGAAGGGGCAGGCTGCCCTGAGCAGAGACACCAAGAACAGCATCGCTTTCACACACTCAACCAAGGTGGGCCAGCCACAAGGTGAGAAGTACACATCAACTTGAACCTTTGCTGAGCCCTGTCCTTAAGGGGCTTGCAGGGGTCCTAGGCCAGTGGCACTCCCTTTATACTATCAGAAGCAAAAGCACATCCTCTCTGAAGGAAAATTTAAGATTATTTAGGCTCATAGGCCTCCCACAGATTAAGAGCAAACAATGAGTTTACAATAAAAAATCACCAGGTACTCAAGAAAGAAAGCACTGTAAGTAAAGGTCACTAGAGACAATAAAAAAACAGATATGAAGAACCACAAGTCAATAAGAAAAAAATAAAACAATGGAAAATGGGCACACGCGCATGGGCACACGCATACACACATTTACTAGATTATTCACAAAAGAAGATATCCAATAGCTAATAAAATATGAAAAGGTTTTCTTTTTTTTTATCCTCACCTGAGGATATTTTTCCATTTTTTGTACAGATAGAATGGGAGGGAGAGAGGAAGGGAAAGAGAGTGAGAAACATCGACGTGAAGGGACACATCGAGTGGCTGCCACCCGCATAACCAACCAGGGCTGGGGACAAACTGCAACCGAAGTACGTGCCCTTAGCGGGAACTGAACCCGGGTCTCTCCGGACCACAGGCCGACACTCTAACCGCTGAGCCAAACTGGCCAGGGCGAAAAGGTTTTCAACTTCAATAAAATATAAAAGAAAAGCACAATGTAATGCCACAACATACCCATCAGAATAGTTCAGATGAAAAACAGGAAATACCAAGTGTTGACAAAGATCTGAAGAAACTAAAATTCTCAGACACTGCTGGCATAGATTATCATTTTCCACTCACTTACTTTTCATTTATGTCTATTTATTTATTTATTGTTAATCCTCACCCAGGGATATTTTCCATTGATTTTCAGACAGAGTGGTGGGGAGAGGGAAGGTGGAGGGAGAGAGACACATCAATTGGTTGCCTCCCACAAGACCCCAACAAGGGCCAGGGATCAAACCTGCAACCCAGGTACATGCCCTTGACTGGATTCAAACCCAAGACCCTCTGGTCCACAGGCTGTCACTCTAATTGTTGAACCAAAATGGCCAGGGATCTATATATTTTTAAAGCGAGTTTCTTCCACAAACTGTATAGTTGTGTCATACTCTTTTATCTTACATAATAATCTCTGTCTTTGAGTTGGTGTGTTTAGATCGTTTACATTTAATATGGTTATTTGGCCAGATTAAAAATTTTGCTACTTGTTTTCTATTTGTTCCATCTGTTCTTTGTTACTTTTTTCCTCTCTTCCCATTTTAGATTTATTTTATGATTGTATTTCATCTACTAATTGACTTATTCTTTATACATATTTTAAAATTTTTATAATGCTTGAACTGGGTTTATAATATACATCTTCAATTTATTACTGTGCACTCTCGAATAACATTATACAGCCACACTTAAAGTATAAAAACTTTACAACAGTATGCTTCCAATTACCCCGTTTTTTGTTCTCGTTATCACATATTTTTCTTTTACATTTACTATAAAATGAAATCTGTTGCTAGTATTTTTGATTTAGTAATTTACCTTTTAGAGCAATTAAAAATAAAAAATGCTCTTATATTTACCTTCACTTTAACCATTTCTCAAGCTATTATTTCTTGGTTTGGTTTTGAGTTTCTATCTGGTATATTCTTTCTTCCTGAAAAACTTACTACAGCTTTTTTTTGTAATGTAGTCTGTTCTCAAAGAAGTCATATTTATAATTCATATTTGTTACGAACATCTTATTTTGCCTTCATGTGTAAAATATATTTTCATTGAGAATTCTGAGTTGACAGCTCTCACTTTCCATATTTTAAGAGTCATTCCTTTGTCTTCTGCATGATTTCTGATGAGAAGTCTACTGTAATTCTTTTCATTTCTTTGTATGCAATATGTTTTATGTCTTTTCTTTATCTGCCTTCCTTCATGATTCCCTCTTTATCTGTTTTTTTTCCCCAGAGATTTGAATATAATGTGTAGAGATGTTTGCTTTTTTAAAATGCTGCTTGATGCCCGGTGGTTGAGCACTGACCCCTGCACCAAGAGGTCAACAGTTCAATTCCTGGTCAGGGCACATGCCCAGGTTGTGGGCCCAATCCCCAGTGGGGGGCATGTAGGAGGCAGCCAATAGATGTTCTCTCTCATCAACGTTTCTATCTCTCTCTTCCTCTGCCTTCCCCTCTCTCTAAAAGCAATAAAAATAAATAATTTTTTTAAAAATGCTGCTTGGAATTCTCTGAGCTTCTTGTATCAGAGCTTTTTGTATCAGTGCATTTTGTAAGATGCTCTGCCACTATCTCAAACGTCATGGATATTAGAGCAGTATAGATGAATCTCAGATACATTATGCTAAATAAAAGAAGTGAGATGAGGCTACATAGCATATTATTCCATTTATATGACATGTTGGAAAAGACAAAAGAAGGAAAAGAAAATAGACCAGAGACTGGGAGTGGATTGTGGTCCTTGATTATAAATGGGCAAGTGAGAATATTTTGGAGTAATGAAAGTATTCTGTTTTGATTGTGATGGTGGTTATATAATTAAATGTGTTTGGCAAAATTAATAGAACTGTATATTTAAAAGGGTGAATTTTAGCCCTGGCTGGTTTGGCTCAGCAGTTAAAGTGTTGGCCTGCGGTCCAGAGAGAGCCGGGTTCGGTTCCCTCTAAGGGCGCGTACCTTGGTTGCAGTTTGTCCCCGGCCCTGGTTGGGTTGTGCGGGTGGCAGCCACTCAATGTGTCCCTTTCATGTCAATGTGTGTGTGTCTCTCTCTCTCTCCCTCTTTCTCTCTCTCTCCCTCTCTCTCTCCCTCTCCCCCTCACACTCTATCTGAACAAAAAAATGGAAAAATGTCCTCGGGTGAGGATTTTAAAAAAAGGGTGAATTTTACTGTAAGTTATACTTTAAGAAACCTGTCTTATAAAATAATGACAACCACCTAAATAAAAACAATCTCTTAATTACAAGGCCAAATTATGTCACCTATAGGCCATACTTACAAGCTAATTAAGAAACAGGATATTATAAACTTGACATTACACATAAATATGGAAATAAATATCTTAATCCAGTAGAACCGAATCTGACGTCCACAATGCAGAGGCCGAGCAGCAATTACATAGAAGAGAGGAAAAGGAAAGGGAGGGTGTGGGGTGATATAACGCAGGCTAACTGATCCTCAGAAACAGGAAGTCCCACCCAATGTGGGAAAATGAGGACCACAGTCTGCGGCCTCAGGGTTGAGAACACTACCGGGCTTTCCAGAAATCGAAGGGAATGTTTGTTAAATCAATGGCTCTCTTACTTTGGCAATGGGAAGGGTTGCTGAGTTTTTGATTTTATGACTTTTGTTTCTCCAGGGCCTTTAATTTCCATCTCTTGCTTCTTTCTTGTTTTTAAAAGTTGTAGCCCTTCCAAGGTCTATTTCTCACCCAATAACTATAGCTAAAATGGAGAAAGTTTCCAAAGAACTATACTATCAAAAAAAAGCAAAAGCATTTTTAGAGATCAAATAATCCCAATACTATATTGGTCCAGAGTATAAAAATAAGGAAAACAGTAAAGTTTAATTGTGATAGCTAAGCATGACAGAGACAGTGCGCGCACACACACACACACACACACACACACACACGAAAACAAAACACAATGTAGGTCAGTAATTCCATCTGGAGTAAGGAAAGGGTTAGGGATAAAGGAAGAACCCCTAGCTATTACAAATCATTGGTAATGTTCTGGTTTAGTTCACAGGTACTCATTAACTCATTATATTACTATTCTTTAGAACTTACACACAGAGAAGAAAAATAGAATAGTTATAGGTATGAATGAAGAAACAATACCCTGTATATGTGAAGCTCATGGTGTTCTGGACTTTGAAGAATTTAAAACAGGAATTCTGAAGGAATGCTCAGGTAGGAAAGGTAGAACAAGTTATTAATTTTGAGCATTAAATGTTTACACAAGCATAAAACCTCTTATAATACATAATTTTAAAGAATAAGCGGAAGGCTAAATGGAGAGATACAATGTACCATGTATGCTGCTGTTACTGGAGGAGACGGGTTCTTTGGCAGTATCAGCAGTGCAGCATTCCAGGGACTCGCCTCGGAGGAGTTCTAAGCAATGACGGCAAGGTGTGTTAGAGGGAAAGCGACAGCACCCAGAGAGGTGAGAGGGGGAGGCCATAGGGCAGCAGCTGCTGGCATGGA